AAAATTCAAGCACATAAATAGCCAAGTCCAAAGAGATGTGTTAAATGATATGGTTTCAGACAAGGTCCAGAACCTGGCTGGCAGGCAAGGTAACAAGCAGAGTGACACTCTGAATCTAAGGTAGAAGGGTATGTGTGTTGCACACATATTTGAGAATGAATGAATGCAACATGTGTTCATGTGTCTGTGTCATTCTCCGAAATCCTGGTTGACATCTTTTCTCTCCTGCTGTGTGTCTTCTGCTAGATAGTTCTTTCTAGGATATTGCTCTGAGCAAAGACTTGTATCTTTTTTCATACTCAGAAAGGTGATTTCCCCAACCCCTCCCCAAGTATGTAAATTCTAAACTATGTAAACTTTTGTCAAAAGTAGAACCATCAGATAGTGTGGGCTGATGTCCAGTAGTTTATATTCATGCTTGAGCCACAACTGTTCTCAATTGTCCAGTCATTCTTTCTTACACTTTCACTCAATAAACATTTATCAGTTCTAGAAACTGTGCTAACCCCTAGGAATACGCCGATAGTCCATTATTTTAGAGACCTTCCATGTATTACAGAAGGACTTATGTAAGTAAGTACCATAGTACTGAGGTACTGAGTTTTGAGAATGATGGCAAGACGGGGGGTGGGTGGGGGAGGGTGATAGCTAAAAGGCATGAGATGACTTTTGAAAATATTCTAAAATTGATTGTGGTAATAGTACTACAACTCTGTGGATACACTAAAATTCCTTGATTTGTACACCTTAAGTGGGTGAATTGGTATATAAATTATATCTCCATAAAAGATTACAAATAAATACTATTAGGAGAAAGCAGAATACTATAATGCACATAAATGATTTGCTTATTCAGAAAAGGACTTAGAACAAGGGATATCATGACTGATGTCAGATGGATCTTATCTAAAAACAGAAGATGTTTACCTGTTTTTGTTGCTATGCAAAGGCAACCAACTAAGTAGATCATAACAAATTAGGAACAACAAAGGGAATAGTAGTCATTCCAGGACACTTAATTTTACTCATGCACATGTGTACACAGAACAAAGAGGCAATCATTCACACTAAGCAAGGGAACACTGTGAGTTTAAAATCAGAAAAGGTGTGCATCAGGATTGTCATTCACACTAAGCAAGGGAACACTGTGAGTTTAAAATCAGAAAAGGTGTGCATCAGGATTGTCTCCTTACAACATCCTTACTTTGTCTTTGTGCTAAGCAAATAATCCAAGAACTTTATGAAGAAGAATACAGCATCAGGACTGGAAGAAAACTCAGTAACAACCTAAGATATGCACATGACAGAACCTTGCTTGCTGAAAATGAGAACTTAAAGCACTAACTGTCAAAGATCTAAGTTTATAGTCTTCAGTATAGATTACACTTCAGTTTAAAGAAATAAATTGTTACAACTGCGCCAAAAAGTATCGTGATAAACTGAGAAAATATTGAGGCTGTAAAGATTTTACTCTACCTGACTCCACAATGAACCCCATGGGAGCAGCAGTCAAGAAATCAACTGAGGTTTTGCACTGGTCAAATCCGTTACAAAAGACCTCTTTCAAGTGTTGAAAAGCAAAGATATCTCAAGAATAAAGAAAGTGTTCTAAAAATGATTGTAGTGATGATTGCGCAAGTCTTTTTAAATATATTTAAACAATTGAAAGGGAGGGTACGTAAATTAGATGCCAATGAAACTGTTAAAAAAATAGTAAATATATCACTTTGAGGACTAAAGTGCGCCTGACCCAAGCCATGGCATTTTTAATTATCTCATATGCATGCGAAAACTGGACAATGAGTAAGGCATACAGCAGAAGAATTGATTCTTTTGATTTATGGTGTTCGTAAAAAATGCTGTATGAACTGCAAGAAGAAATAACAAAACCACCTTGGAAGAAGCTAGAAGACATCATGAAAGTGAGGATGGCAAGACTACATCTCATGCTTTGGATATGTTTTCATGGACATGACACTTTGGACATGTTAACAAGCCCCTGGAGAAGGATATCACGCTGGGTAAGCAGTGGTGGAGAGACAACAAGAGAAGACGCTCAACAACATGAATTAACCCAAGGGCTGTGACAGTGAGCTCAGACAGCAGTGACTGTAAGGATGATACAGGGCAGGGCAGTATTTCATTCTGTTGGATATGGGGTCGCCATGTGTCAAAACAGACTGGCAGCACCTAGCAACCGCATCATTCCTACCAAATAACTGCCATTTAAGATTGATGGCTTCTTCACCGTGCACATGCATTTTCTCCTTATTTAAGTGTTTATTGAGCTACTTGTACATGTTGAAATCGTCATCATTGAATCCCTTTGACTCATGCCAACACCCTGGGTCTCAGAGTACAACTGTGTTCCATACAAATTTCAGTGGCTGATTTTTTGGAATTAGAACACCAGGCCTTTATTCTAAGATGACTCTGTGTAAATATAAAATTCCAACCTTTAGGTTAGCAGCCAAGAATATGAACAGTTTGCATTACCCCGGGACTCCTTGTACTGTACTTGTAATAAAATGTGGTCGATGTGGGCAGACATTTTCCTGGGGAAGGTATTTGGCGTTTTGTTTTGTTTTTGGTATTTGGTTTTAATGTCATCATAAACAGCAGATGCATAAACACCAAAAAGCAGGTGCCGTTTTCATGATCTAAGAGAAAATGCTGATCATAGGATTAAGTAAAACTGTAAGTAAACAGGGTGGCATATAGCAGCGGTTCTCAACCTGTGGGTCGCGACCCCTTTGGGAGTCGAATGACCCTTTCACAGGAGTCACCTCATTCATAACAGTAGCAAAATGACAGTGATGAAGTAGCAATGAAAATAATTTTATGGTTGGGGGATCACCACAACATGAGGAACTATATGAAAGGGTCGCGGCATTGGGAAGGTTGAGAACCATTGCTCTATAGACTATTAGATGCTAATTCATATATAAAAGTAGATATAAAGGTCAGCTACCAGTGAAAGTACTAATGTACAAAGTATGACACACGGTAATTTCCGAATTTTCTACAGGGAAAGGCCATGACACTGCTTTTTAGGCCATTACATTTTTAACAAGAACATTACACACACAGGAACTTTAAAAAACCTATGGACAAATTCCATTATCTTTTAAATCTATTTTTCCACGGGCTTTTTGAAGCCCCCACTCCAAACTCACCATCATCGAGTTGGTTGTGACTAATAGTAGCCCTATAGGACACGATAGACCTGTTTTTAATGGGTTTCCGAGACCATAACTCTTCAGGAGTAGAAAGCCTCCTCTTTCTCTCATGGAGGTTGGTGGCTTTGAACTGTTGACCTTGTGGCTAGCAGCCCAACATATAATCACTACACCACCAGGGGTCCCCAAAGCACAATGCTGGGATCATACTGCCAAGGCTTATCATTATGGTTTTCAATATTTACCTTTCTTTTCTTTTAGGAAACAACAATTAGTGAAATCCCTGAGTTTGAAGTATTGAGTAAGATGCCTTTACCAAATAACAGGTTAGTAAAGTTAAGAGAATCATCTTCATGCTCAGAAGGCAAGGCTGCCTGACTATCCTGAACTGCTGGCTGGAGAAAGCTTAGTGTTCAGCATCATTTTTATCTACTTGTATTACTTGAATCTTCTCCTAATTCTTTCTCCCCTCCCCATCCCTTTACCTCTATACCTCAAAGAATCTTGAGGTAACCCAGAAACATAAATTTAAGGCAAGTCTTTGTAGTTATTGTTAACTAAAAGTTTATTAATATTTTCCTCAGAACCTCAAACTTCCAGATAAATTCAGCCCTGTGACATGTTTGCATGTGGCATTTCCTAGTTCCTCAGAAACAGGGATGGTGGAGTCTATTGGAAGTCTGCAAGAGACTGAAGAACAAAAGTCCGAAGAGGCAAGAGCGAGCCCAATGTCCCCTGAGCTTCTTCCGTGTTCACGGCGTTCTGGACTCGGATACATGAGCGTGGCGTATTTGAAAGGGGCGCACAGAGTCCAAAAACGAGATCAAAAGGCAGAACTATAAAATCCCTGCTTTCATAGACTGCACAGAAGCTTGGGCAAGAGGAGGGGCCTGACACGGGGAAGGGCTGCCGTGGATCCCCACTGGCCATCAACTAGAGCCATTAAACCAGTTCTAAAAATAGATTTCTCAATTTTGTTTTATATTCTCAAGTGCCTTGTATTGATCAACACAGTGACTTACATTATTTCATTAAGTTTCTGATTAGTAGAAAACATATATGATTAATTCAGCATTCTTCCCCTTTGACAGGCATTTTTCTTGTTTACTTATTAATTGTAAAAATACTAAAATTAAAGCTAGTGTTTCTTAACCTCTTATAATACCACATTCTTAGCATAACTATTTTAATTTTAGAGTTACTCCTTTCTCGTTATTCAAATGCATATATTTTAAGTGATTGTCTTAGGTTGGGTTCTTTAGAGAAGAAAATCAGTAAAACTTATATGAGTACATATATACATAGAGAGAGAGTGGTTTATCTCAAGGAGATGGCTCACATGGTTATAAAGCTTGGCAAGTTTCAAGTCCATGGGTGAGGTGTCAAACCAGAAATTTCTCCTGACTACATGGATGTGAGGCTGATAAACCCGATATCTACATGTCAGACAGCAGGCTGCGGACGCCAGAGGGATGAATCCAAGGTTGGGAGGTAATATGTGAGGCTGCTTAGAGGCTGCAGAAGCTAAAAATTCCTAAGAACATCTGGCAATATGGCAGGCTGCTGGCTCAAGCCCAAAGAACCAGCATTCAGATGATAATGATGAGCCAGCTGCAGGTCACACTACTGAGGATACACTGGTGGCTCATTTCAGATCTCCTCATGGAGGTGATGATGGTAAATCAGTTCTCATTATGGGCAATGACTAAATCACAACCGCCAGACCATAGACAATCATGATCCAGGAGAGTTGACACACATCCTTAACTACAGTGGTGATCACCAAGTGTAGTCTTTTTCATCATCTATTTTCATTGTAATATACAACATTTTCTCATATTTCAGTAGTCTTCCTAATTATTCTTTTATCCCCTTTCACACTCACTCGCTGCCATCGAGTTAATTCTAATTCTAACTCTTAACTCATAACCTAATTCTAACTCTAATCCTATAGGACAGGGTAGAACTGCCCCTGTGAGTTTCCCAGACTGTAATTCTTTACGGGAAAAGAAAGCCCCTTCTCCCTCAGATAGGCTGCCCTTGCAGTTAGCAGCCCAACATGTAACCACTACACAGCCAGGGGTCCTATTATTTCATTAGATACATAATATTCTATCAAGTTGATGGTCCATAAATTCCTTAATCATTCTTTTAGTATTTTGTATTTAGTTCATTTTGCTTTTTTCTTATTCATGAATAATGGTTCTTTATTATCACAAATAATACTATTTTGAAATAAATTTGTTCTTCATATAGATATATAAATATATTAGTGAATCTATATCCAGAAGTGGAATTACTATATCAAAGAGTATATACATTTTTTAATTTTAGTACATATTTTTAATTTATACTTAATTAAAAGGTGATACCACTTTTTAGTCCCAAATAAGAGTACCTGCCCCCTTGATATTGTTAATATGTCAGTATAGATAGGTCAATAGAAAATATATTCGGGGGGAAAAAAGCAAACCCTCCCCATTCAGGTAGAAAATAGTTTATAGTATCGGTTAGTATCTGAGAAGGTTGAGCACACCTGCTTGTGTTCATTGGCCGAGCTGTCAATGTCTGGTCCACTTTTCTTTTCAGGGGCTACTCTTTTTTCTTAATGTTTGAAATAATTATCTGTTCATTATTTTACAACTTGTGGCCATTTTCTCCAAAATAGAGTTTAAGAAAAATTGGTGATTTGTCTCCTATCCTAACTTTGATGATATATTTTGTTAAACAGAAGTTTTAAATTCTGATAAGGTCAAAATTAATAATCTTTTATGACCTTTATGTTATATCTCATTTAAAAAGTCTTTACTCCCTTAGTTTTCTAATATTTCTAGGTGTTCTTTTTAAAGTTATATAGAATTTATGTTTCTGTAAAATAGGACTCTGCCCTTTTTCCCAAAAGGAGATCCCATTAAATACCGTACCATTTTAACAACTGTGGACATCCGTGACTTACTTTGTGTTCAACATCTGCACTGACAGGCATTCAGCAAACATTTAGTACATGAATGACATGGGAGGGAGAATTCCAGGCATTTTCAGCAGGGAGCTGGTGTGAACACATGCTGAGGCTGGAATGCACACGTGTGTGCTAGGAACTGCGCATGAGCCCCTCTCATCAGCCGCAGGTCCCTTCTCAGGCCCAGATGACACCCTGAGCTCTCCGTGTAGCCAGTACCGGCGGTCTCTAGGACTCAACCTGTTTAGTGGCCCTTCAATAGCTGCCCACCGCTCCCGTTTCCCACTCTCTTCTCTGCTGTAACTTAGGTTAAGTTGATGATTATTTTACCTTCTCAACATTGACCACTGATCAGTACAGGAGGGCAGAAGATGACAAAATGGATAAAGTTTATCACATTCTTTACATTGGGGACCTGCTTTTGCATGTTTCTGAGTTCTTTACAGAAAGTTACTGGAAATCCTTGTTAGGAGTTTAATTTCTGCGGCTAGGACAATCAAGCTTTCTCTCTTTCTCACCAGTATTAGCAACGTTTATATGACCTTTGTCCACATGAGAGCCCTTCTTTTCAGCCTGCACCCCAGCAGAACCTGTACCTGGATCTTTCAAACAGAACAAGGGAATACAGCATGGTTTAAAAGTAGGAAAGGTGTGTGTCAGAGTTGTATCCTTTTACCACATTTATTCTATCTGGATAGTGATCAAATAAGCTGAGAAACTGGACTATTTGAAGAACTTGGCATCAGTATTGGAGGAAGGCTTGTTAACAACCTGAGATGTGCAGATAACACAACTTTGCTTGCTGAAAGTGAGGAAGACTTGAAGTACTTGCTGATGAAGATCAAGGATATGTGTTGTAACTCAATGTAAAGATAGCCCAAATCGCATAATCAAGGGGAATATAACAAAGAGGAAGTGCTGAAATCCTCGTGGGGACTGAGCATGATAGTGGGACAGGAGGAAAATCAAGGGAAATAGAGGAAAGAGCTGGGAGGCAAAGGGCATTTATAGAAGTCTAGATAAAGACATGTACATATGCAAATATATGAGGATAGGGAAATAGATCTATG